CAGTCTTCCTCAACCTGGTGCCCTCCAGATACAAATCCCATAAGCTCCTATCATTGGCCATGATGGCTGAGATTGATGGGGAAAGGAATCCAACAACATTGAGGCACAAATACAAGATGGGTGACACCTGGCTTGAGAGCAGTACATGTGAAAAGGATCTAGGAGTCTTGGTTGACCACAAACTTGACATGAGCCAACAGTGTGACGCAGCAGCTAAAAAAGCCAATGCAATTCTGGGCTGCATCAATAGGAGTATAGCATCTAGATCAAGGGAAGTAATAGTGCCACTGTATTCTGCTCTGGTCAGACCTGACCTGGAGTACTGTGTCCAGTTCTGGGCACCACAGTTCAAGAAGGACACTGACAAACTGGAACGTGTCCAGAGGCGGGCAACCAAAATGGTCAAAGGCCTGGAAACGATGCCTTATGAGGAACGGCTAAGGGAGCTGGGCATGTTTAGCCTGGAGAAGAGGAGGTTAAGGGGTGATATGATAGCCATGTTCAAATATATAAAAGGATGTCATATAGAGGAGGGAGAAAGGTTGTTTTCTGCTGCTCCAGAGAAGCGGACACGGAGCAATGGATCCAAACTACAAGAAAGAAGATTCCACCTAAACATTAGGAAGAAGTTCCTGACAGTAAGAGCTGTTCGACAGTGGAATTTGCTGCCAAGGAGTGTGGTGGAGTCTCCTTCTTTGGAGGTCTTTAAGCAGAGGCTTGACAACCATATGTCAGGAGTGCTCTGATGGTGTTTCCTGCTTGGCAGGGGGTTGGACTCGATGGCCCTTGTGGTCTCTTCCAACTCTATGATTCTATGATTCTAACATTTAGAGGTCCACGGGTTCCCCATCCCTGATCTAACACACTCCACTTAGAAGTAATCTTCACTGCCAATAACACCCCATGTTGCTGTATTACAACTCCCATTATCTCAAACCACAGCCCATGCTAACTGAGGTTGATGGGAGCTGGAGTCAAACAGTATCTAGTGGGCTCCAGAGACCTGGGGATAACTGAAATTTGGGAGATGAGGTGCTTGGGAGACCATAGGCATACAGATGGGTTTTCCTTCTTTCAGACCCCCCCCTCCCTGTGTTCTTTCTTTTTCTTAAACAAATGATCTGGTGACCAGAGCTAGGAAGCAGCAATTGCACAGTTGTTGTAGTTATGACCACCACTGTGGAGATAAACCAGTATATCCCAATTTAGCACCTTTCCATCCCTGATCTATGAGTCTGTTACCTAACCTTGGGGTGTATTGGGTGTTGGAGGAGGGGTACTACCTCTTGTGGAGGGACACATTTGGAGAACTAGCTCTCACCTGTGGCTCCTAGAAACTGTCAACATGCAACAGTGGCCACACCCTGGGAAACAGCTTTGACTGGCTGGCTAAACCAGGTGCGGGTAGCCAATGGGTCTCAAACACTTGGTGAGGTAGGAGCTTCCCCTGCATGCGAAGACAGGCTCCAGCGGATTGAGCAGATGAGACTAATAGTGGATCCAACCATTAAGAAGGAGGTCTCTGCATGTACTGTAAAGGTAAATGAGGGGCAGATGGTGCTTGTCCACCTGGGAAGGTTGTCCACCTAGGAGAAGGAAAACTTTGATCTTAAACCTCTGCTCCTTTGCAGGATATCTTTGGGAGAAGAAAGGGCTAAGGACTATGCCCTACACAAATCCGGAGTGGAGTCCCTAAAATGGTTGGATGGTGCCTTGTACGCCTCAACCAGCAACTCCTGCAGCCAAGCTGGTGCCAAACATATTTATCTGCTTTCCTTTGGACCACATCAGTGAGCCCGAGGGTCTTGCCGTCTATGTAGACTTCCATAACAGGACTGCATGGGTCATGTTGGTGCTGCTAACGCAGCGGTTTGACTTCAGCCCCAGAGGCACACTCCATTGTCTCTTGAGACAGTTGGATGCCAACAACAGCCAATCTAGACTAGGAATGTGGAGAGTTGGGGATCTGCTAATGTGCTAGTTCAGGTATCCCCAAACTCGGCCCTCCAGACATTTTGGGACTACAATTCCCATCCTCCCTGACCACTGGTCCTGTTAGCTAGGGATGATGGGAGTTGTTGTCCCAAAACATCTGGAGGGCCGAGTTTGGGGGTGCTTGTTCTAGTTGATATCCAAGTGCAACAGGAATGATTTCTGACTTCCAGTTGTTTTAACAATTGAAACAAAATGACTTCCCCACAGCCCAGAGTATACTGCTGAAGTGAAGGAAGCTGAGAGTGTGGGGAGGAACCAGAAAGGACTGTGAATGCAGTTCATTTCTGGGGCTCAAACAAACTTTAAGTGTATGTCTTTTGCACCTGGCTCCAGTTAGTGGATCTTAGAGTCCCAGTAATAAATAACAATTATAGATTCCACAGAGCTGAAGCCTCTCCAGTGGTGAGCTATACAGGAATGGAAGAATCTCTCCATTTCAATTCCTTTTTACATACAACTCTCTACATTTCTATAGCAATTTGCTAAGTTATATATGTATTAATCCTTATGAAGATTTGCCAACACTTTTGTGAGATTTGCACCTACTTTATTTTAAAGTTTTGACTAATATACGTATCTTTGCAAGCACCTCATTCTGTTTATGAAGATATTTATTTTCATGTACATTTTTCATGAATATATGCATGTTCATGCCCATTTTTTTGGTTGGAGAGCTGTGTCACAAAGTTTGGAGAAGTGAGAATTTCAAGGACAGCTGCCTTTTGGTTCGAGAATGGGAATTGGGTTGTTTCTCATTAAAATGCAAACAAAACCATATTTCTCCCCATTCCCTAGACCTAGGCAAATATAGAGTCTAAATATAGATCTGCTGGTTACATTAATGAGTATGATAACCAAGAGGGAAAGCATGACTTCCTTCCCCCCTTAATTTATCTTAGTGTATGTCAGTAACAAACCTGAGCTGTGTAGAGTCTTCTAAAATAAATGATTTGTAACAGTGTTCCTCCATTATGATACTTTTCATATCTTCTTTCCACTCAGCAACAGTTTTATCTATTTTTAGGTTTGGGGTTTATTTCCTACATTTATATCCTGACTCTTCATATATAATTTTAAGGCAACATACTATGTCTTCATGGATACTTGGCATCCATGCACTTAAAGCAAGTGAACAGTTAATGACACAATACACAACTTCAATAAGCATCTGAACAAGAACACTTAAAAGTGTTTGAACACATACACCAATAAGATAAGAAAACTACTTAGAGCACTACTTTGACTGCCAGTGCCTTAGCTGGAGACCAGCAGCCACGTTCATCACATTTATAAAATTCAGCTGAGAAATATAGAGGATGCACAAGATCTCTGCCAAAATATACAAAGAAGGCTGTCACAAGAGGGATTATTTACAGTCCCCATCACAGTTAAAAGAAAATTAAACCACAATGTTCTGCCAATATAACTTCATATCACACACACACACCCCGATTCAGTATGAACTAAGGGAATATTTGCTTTGAGGCACTGCCATAAATTAAACAACAGCATGCCTAAATCTCACGGCTTTCACCACAATTTCCCAACATACCCAGCTCAGAAACTGAACTGTACGGTCTTGAAAATACCAGTAGTGTGTTAGATGCAATGTTCCATACAAGTTTTTAAATGGAGACTTAGACTGTGGAGGCAAGAAGAGATACAACTGCCCAGTATTCTGTACTGCAGTAATTCCTGCTTGCCAGTCAATTTTGCTTATCCAATGGTATGAGTGATGTATCTTCCCTCCTCTCTAACACCCCTTCTCCACCTCCTTGGAGGTTTCTACTACTGTGGTTGACAAAGCTGGAGGAGGGACCAAAAGGATAAAAAAAGAAAAGCGAAAGGGAGCAAAATAGGGGAGGGGGGATTATTTCCTGCCTCCTATGTTTTTTCGAATCTAGATCCAAAAATGCCCTAAAGCTGTTAATAGTGATCAACCTGCCATTGTTAGAGAGTAGGGGCCTCAGACCTGGGTTTTGGCTATCCTGCTTTTTTTAATCTTTTGTTGTTGTTGTTGTTGTTGTTGTTGTTGAAGGAGTTGCTTTTAAAGGAGCTTTCCCTCTGAGAGTCAGCTGAAATTTGCATCTACATATAGAAATGAGTTTATGCACATTTTACACATGTTTGTGTCATGGGCTTGTGCCTTGGATCTTTTAAGGACCAAGCAAGGACTTGTTTTTCTACCTAAAATATATCAGATCAGTGTTTTTATATTACAGTGGTAAATATTATTATTATTTTTAAAAATCTAGCTCTAGAAACATCAAAAAACAGATATTATTTTACATACACATATTTTGGAAGAAAATATCTACATATAATATTGAGATTACAGAGCTAGAGGGGAATGGAGAATAATAATGAAGAATAAACCATACGCTGTATGTTAGTCTAATGACTATAGAGCAGCCTTTGCAGATGTTTTGGACTACTGTACAAGTCCTGTCAGATGCAGCCAGTTTCTGGAGGGCACCAGGTTGGCAAAGACCACCATAGTGTCAATGGCTACATGCGCATAAATGACTAGACAAAAAGTAATGTCAGGAGTGCTCTGATGGTGTTTCCTGCTTGGCAGGGGGTTGGACTCGATGGCCTGGTGTATAGGACTGCACCATCAATGAGGCATCCACCTCTCCCTCTCTCTCTCTCCCCCACCTTCTTTTCAACCCTATGAGCTTGCCCATTGTTTACTGTTGCTGATTCTGACAAACAAAATAGAGTGTTAAATGGAATTGTACTGTTTATATTAGGGTTTGCAGCCACATTGCCAACTTAGGGAGCCATCCTATGCCCACCTGGAGCTTGGTTGAGGAGGCCACAGAAAATGGCATGAGCATACCATACCAAGTCAGATGCCTGCAAATGTTAAGTGTTTTGCAACTAACACTTATGACTTGGCAGAAGTCATATATGAATAAATGTACCCACTTAGACCTCACAACAACCTTGTGGGGTGGGTAAGTCTGGATTTTTGCTATGGGTAAAGAAAACAAAAATGGAGAAGGGCATGACTTACTCAAGTCACAAAGTATACTGCATCTGTAGGTGGTATCATGCCTGATAATTAGATATGGCCACTCAAGGTTTTAGTGTGCTGAAGGATGCTATTAAGGGATCTGGACATCTCTTTATTTGTTAAGTAAAACCCTCACTGGGTTTAAGCACACTAAAATTTGAATCAAATCAAGGTTAAAAAGTCAATCTACTGTCAATCAACTAACTTACCCGTTGTTCCTACTGAGAAAATATAGGACAAAAAAGTGTTCTTAACATTCAATATATTCTTAAACATGGCCAAAGGGAATGATTGGCAGAGATCTTCTTAGGTTTTTTTTATTGAAGAAACTCAGTGAGATTGGTGGAGGTAAGAAAATGTTCTGAAGCGTCCATGGAAGCTGGAAGAATGAAACTCAATAAGGAAGCAAATGGAAGAGTCCGTCTGATGACTGTGTCATCAAGGTCTGCCACCCTGTCCCCATGCAGAGCAGTGCAGAGTTGTTGCCCATGTACTATAGACATGGGATAGCTCCTTGAATATACTATGAAGGCAGGCTTTGCAACACTTGGGAATGCAGCAGTTTCCTTGATTCTGAAGGCCAATTCTTCCATCACTTGCTCTGGGGAAAACAGAATGAATTTAGTCTGAGGTTCTGAGAGGACAAAATCTCTCTAAATAAAAATTTATGAAGTTTACTACAGTGGTACCTCGGGTTACATACACTTCAGGTTACATACGCTTCAGGTTACAGACTCCGCTAACCCAGAAATAGTGCTTCAGGATGAGAACAGAAATCGTGTTCCGGCGGTGCAGCAGCAGCGGGAGGCCCCATTAGCTAAAGTGGTGCTTCAGGTTAAGAACAGTTTCAGGTTAAGTACGGACCTCCAGAACGAATTAAATACTTAACCCGAGGTACCACTGTATTAGGATAACAAACTATACTAGGTATGTACTTAGGTAAATCCAGTGCTTAAAAAATATGTTTAGTGGTACTCTCATTTTGACTCAAGAAAATCACCATTTTATAGTTCAAATCGGGAAGAATAAATACAGTAAATGGACAAAAGTACAAAGATTCACAAAATGTTTAGGGGTACCCCTGTGTACCCCCAGAAAAAAGCACTGGTAAAATCACTTTGATATGAAATCTATGCTATCTGTTGCTTGCTTTGTGGAGCAGACTGGCTTGCAGAGGTTTCACAATTTCAAGAGGCTGAACATTGCCGGTTGAAACATGCCAATGATCTTTGAACTTTACACAGCATTATTTTCTAATAGTAATTTATTCCTGCAAAGTATATTGACAGTTCACAATTGTTCTCAGAGAAATTTTGTTTTAAAAATAATTAAAAATAATTTGTAAAAAATAAAAGTAATCCACAACCCTAAATTCTTTGGGGCAATAGGAACATATATTTAGTACTATGACAACCTAGGAGCTCTAAAAACACACACACCAAAAACGCAAGGCTTGGATGAGGTGGATCAATTTGATATCTGAAAGTCAATAAAATGGCAAATTTTCAGTTATCAGTGCACAGAAATTTCTAATATTGTCCGTAGAGAGAGGGATATTCTCTGGGAGACTCGTGGAACTGCCACAGTTATTTCCAAAGTGGTCATCATTTCTGTATGTGGAAAAAGGAGCCCCCTCATAAGTTCCTAAATTCTTGTATGTTGAACAGAGTTCTTGGCTTCTCTGACTCTGTGAATTTGGTCCTGGAAGTATCTGAAATGATGATTGACTGAGGCTTAAAGGTAAAGGTAAAGGACCCCTGACAGTTAAGTCCAGTTGTGAACGACTCTGGGGTTGCAGCGCTCATATCGCTTTACTGGCTGAGGGAGCCAATGTTTGTCCACAGACAGTTTTTCTGGGTCATGTGGTAAGCATGACTAAGCTGTTTCTGGTGAAACCAGGGCAGCGCACCAAAATGCCGTTTACCTTCCTGCCAGAGTGGTACCTATTTATCTACTTGCACTTTGACATGCTTTCAAACTGCTAGGTTGGCAGGAGCTGGGACCGAGCAACGGGAGCTCACCCTGTCGCAGGAATTTGAACCACCGACCTTCCGATTGGCAAGCCCAAGAGGCTCAGTGGTTTAAACCACAGCGCCACCCGCATCCCTTACTCTACATTCCCATTATTTGAGCAATTGTGGGTTTAGAGACAGGCATATACTGGGTGTACATCTTGTTCCTTTCTTAGACTGCGAGTCACCATAAAATTGCAACAGGTTTTTCTGCAGCGTTTGGTTGTTGTAGTAGCCCTCATCTCCCTTATTACAGCCATGTGACTTTGGCTTCTTCTTCTTCTTACCTTTGTCACGCTTTCCTCCTAAAGCTTTCTGGCAACCTGAACGCCTTTATATCTGGGAAGAGAGTCATAGTGAGAGGGTGGTGTTACATATCTGAAGGCCCATGTGCGTCAAAATGACATCAACTGGGGTGTATGTGTCAAAGCAAGAGTCCTGACACAAGGGCGGAAGGGGTAGGACAGAAACTGACCCAGTGCTGAGAGGACCAGTTCACATTTTACACAATTGCTAACCTCTTTTCCCCCCTTCAGTTTTATGGCTACAATAAATGGGATGATGAAGAGTTATTATTATAAACTTCTGGTGTCCATTGTCAATCTATATATAGTAAGAGCAGAACAAACCTTAGGGCATGGTCCGATATTTTTTATACCAATTTCAGATTTCGTTTTCCTAAAAAAAAGGAGAGAGAATAGATTAGTGTGAACACACATACAGCCCTAATAACTTCGCTGGTGGAAAGGCCTTTATAGTAAGGTCACAGAACATTTCACAGATTAGATGTGATGCTAAAAAGAATTCAGAATATAATTTGCTGCAAAGGTTGAGAAAGAGTTTGTTTTCTGTCTCAGTACAAACATTGCCATTAAATCTGTTGCTGATGGTTCTCTTAGCTCCTTTTTAAGCATTGCGCAGAAACATCTTTTATGAATCAGGATACCTTAAGAAGCACCACACACACCTGGAAAATGCAACAGTTCTGATTAAAATAGCCCACTTTGAGTTTATTGTATTCAACAATTCTGTTGAAAGTAAAAATGGAATGGTTCCACTATGAATGTGTGTGCCGAGTTAAGAGGATCCTTCGCTGCTGGCCACTTCAGTGCATGAGAACCCCTGGTGGGAATATGCATTTCGGTTTAATTAATGAAAAAGTTGTATGCCTTTCAGTATTATTATGGGCAAGGCAGGCTTGGTTTACTCACAGGATTCTGTCACAGAGCATGCACTCACTCCCGTATGTCTCGCCATCTGTTCCACACACCTCCTGGCTTCTCCTCTTGCAAAGGACTTTCCCTCTGGTTTGGGGGTATTGGCTGCAGTCAGCCTAATGAAACAGCAGCAAAAATACTAGAATGGACACTTGGAGAAGACAACTATACTCAGTGATCACCTCCCGGTCGCCATGGCTGATTAACCTTATATTTTGTTAAAGTTTGGAAGAGACAATGATAAACTGATATTTGGCAGATCTGGAAACCTAAGGTGGCATCTGACAAAGTCATACTCAGAACAGACCCAGTTAGTCTTGATTAACGTAACTCCATTGATTTCAATGGGCTTACTCTGAGAATCACTTAGTCAGATACCATTCCTTTAGTACTGGGATGTCCAACTTCCAAGAGACTGTGATCTACTCCCACTTAAAAAACCCTGGCAGTGATCTACACATTGTATTGACCAAAATTGTTGAGCTTTTTTTGGGGGGGGCAATCGATCGGGATCGACCAGGGATGCCCCGCAATCAACCAGTAGATCACGATCAACCTGTTGGACATCCCTGCTTTAGTAGTTCCATTTGACTCAACAGATCATTTAATGCTAGCCCTGCCCTCAAATTATTCAGAGTCTCACCTTTATATGACCAGCTTGACATTCACCTTCGTTCTTTAGCGCAAGGGTATCTTCAGCTTTCCTAGAAATAGTAGAATAAATGTTATATGGTGCTCCCCTATCTCTCCCCTAAAGTGAGTAAACCCTATGGTCAAGTTATGGTAGACTATGTACAGAACAGATATAAGACAACATATAGACAGAAGGTACAAAATGGTCGTGCTTAGGGAGAGGAATCACATGATGGCTTAGCCAAGGCATTCCAAAGCAGGCCTATACACTATTGATTTAAGATATGTTTGAGTTGAAGATGGAACCAGCGGCGTAGCGTGGGTTGTCAGCACCCGGGGCAAGGCAAGTAATTTGCGCCCCCTAACCCCTAACCATGGTCATTAATACTGACGGCTCTACTCTGGGGCAAACTTCGTGGTGACTACTGCCCTCCGTGGTGTTGTTTTTGCAATTAAAGGACCCCTGCCTCAAATAAAGCATCTTGGGGATTGGGGACTGGGATTTGCCAAGGGACCTGGGAATTGCAGTTCAGTGGCGGGTCAGGGGGAGAGGGTCCCTTCCACGTCTGGGTGCCGCGGGCCCCTTTGCGCCAAGACGCACGTCTTTGGGCGTCGCGGCGCAGCCTTCTCGGTCTCCCTCCCCGGCCCGGCTAGCCCCGACGCGGCTTCTTTCTGGTACGGGGAGGGGGCTTCTTTCTGGCGCGGGGAGGGGGCGGCTCTGGGGCCACTGCATCGGCCGGCCTCCGGCGCGGGTGGGCGGGCCCCGTCGGGGCGGGTGGGTGGTCTTGGCGCGCAGGCACTAGAGCGCAGGTGGCTCCGGCTGGGCGCTTCATTCACCGCCGGTGGCGCATTTGGCGGGCTGCGCGCGTCCAGACAGCGACCCGAGCCTGGGCGGCGTGGCGCTTGGTGCCGGAGCCTCTGCCCGCAGTGCCCTGTCGGGAGACCTGGCCGGAAGGAGCCTCGAGCCGGCTGTCGGACGCGGCTGAAGCAACCAGGGTGGCATGGCAGGCGGCGGCGGCTCTTCGGCGACTTCGGAGGCAGCGAGCGCGCCCCCCCCAGAAGTTGCACCCAGTGCGGCCGGTCCCCCCTGCACCCCCCACGCTACGCCACTGGATGGAACCATTGGCAACGGCCCAGCCTGGCTGACTGCTGGTGCCAGACCTAACCACCCCAAGCCCCTCCCCCCGAACTGCACCCACCCTGCTTTATGTTGCATTATGTGCTATATTGTATTTATTGTGTGTTGTTTTCAGCTGCTCCTCTAGTCGCATGCAAGCAATAATTGAACAACATTAAAATCAGCAAAACAAGCAGAACAATCCTCAGCATCACTCAGTGTGTCATGCTACCTAACTAATATGCTGCTTCCAAGTATTGAGAGAACTGCTTGAGGATCTTTTCATATGACTATCAAGGGCACAACACTCATAGGAAAGGTGCCTGAAATCCAGTTATTCTCAGACTAGGGCAAGTCACTCAAGCAATTGCTAGTAAGTGCAGGTTTCAATTTTGGGCTACACTGCCAATGTTTTAAAAATCACGCACACACAAATCACGTTCCAAAAGCTGAATCCTGGGTGTTGTGTGATAAGTTCAGCATGTCAAAGCTGAATGCGTGGACTTTTTAAATGTCCACCAACATGCACCTCACAATGGTTGTGTGAACCAGCTCTTGTGGAGAAAGCAGAATCTATACACAACAGCTCTGGACACTCTTGGGGAACCTGATTACTGATATATATGCTTTTTATGATGAGATGCTGATCAATTAATGCAGAACACGAGGCAGTCGCTTTTCATACCTGCTGTCACAGTTTGGCCTCACTGTTTTTTGAAGACAGGTCTTTCAAGGTGTGCTAGGATTATGAGGAATTCTCTCTCTTTCTTTCACACACACCCTCATTCACTCATCCCATTATGAATTAAATCCTATCTTAATTCTTGGCTAGGTGATCATTAAACACGGCTAGGGTTTCCAATGAATGATGACAAAGATGGCATCCATATAAGCATTGCCATTATCCTGAATTATCTGTCATTCCTTTAATTGGGATATTGTTGATCTCTGTGTATGTCATTGGAAAATCACCAAGATGTTGGGTAGTTTGCTATGAAGTAAACACAATTAGAAGTCAGAGTGCATTTGCAATGCCCCCAGAGCAACTGCTAATACTCACACAATTGCGGAACACAGGAAACATTTATTGCTATATGTTTTCTCATCAGTGCCACAAACAGGAGACCACAGAGCATTGCACGAAGTCCCTTCCTTCTTTATATCGGCTAGAATTTGATCACAGTCCAGCTGGAAGGAGAAAATAGATACAAGTAAATTAGATAACATGCTACAGTATAAGGTAACTTAAAAAGGTAAAGGTAAAGGTACCCCTGCCTGTACGGGCCAGTCTTGACAGACTCTAGGGTTGTGCGCCCATCTCACTCTATAGGCCGGGGGCCAGCGCTGTCCGCAGACACTTCCGGGTCACGTGGCCAGCGTGACAAGCTGCATCTGGCGAGCCAGCGCAGCACACGGAACACCGTTTACCTTCCCGGTGGCAAGCGGTCCCTATTTATCTACTTGCACCCAAAGGTGCTTTCGAACTGCTAGGTTGGCAGGCGCTGGGACCGAGCAACGGGAGCGCACCCCGCCGCAGGGATTCGAACCGCCAACCATGCAATCGGCAAGTCCTAGGCACTGAGGTTTTACCCACAGCGCCACCCGCGTCCCTATAAGGTAACTTACTTAATCATAAATGTTTTAGGACTGACAAAATACATATAGGGAGACTTTTAATGTTTAATGTTTTATTATGTCTTTATATATGTTGGAAGCCACTCAGAGTGGCTGGGGTAACCCAGTCAGATGGGTGGGGTACAAACAACAACAACAATTGTTCCATCGGCTCACAGCTCTTATAGTGAGGTGTTTCATGGTCAAATTTCTTCTCAATAATTTTTGGGGCCTCTTTGATAGCCTTTGCTCGGATCATCCCTCCCCACCATCACCCCCAAAGGGATGGGTATGACAAACAATACAGAAAGAAACTGAATATAAGTCCTGCACTGTACAAACCGCAGAAAAGAAAAGAAGCTGGAACTGATCTGATGTGGAGTGCCAGCTAGATAAGAACTGCTCAATAAAAGCAAGGCATTCTAGAACATCTGAAGGCAACCCTGTTTAGGGAAGTTTTTAATGTCTGATGTTTTATCGTAATTTTAATATTCTGTTGGGAGCCACCCAGAGTGGCTGGGAAAACCCAGCCAGATGGGCGGAGTATAAATAATAATAAAAATAATAATAAAAATAATAAAAATTTCCCAAGGCAGGAGAATCAACGCATCTACCTGCCACCTCATCCAAGAGCACCCTGTGCATTCCTGAGTCAGTTTGTCAGAATGAAGGATCAGTTCTGTTATAAGATATCTCCCTTCCTGTTCATCTACTACATAATAATAATAAAAACAATACCTGGGTTGATCACTGTGAGCGTATACATATGTGAGCATACCACATGAAAGGCTCATCCATCTGTTCTTTTCATTTACACAACCATATATTTAGGAACAGCCGCAGGAGCGCTTTCTTGTAACAAGGGATTTATTAAACAGTAGCTGATGTAACTGTTTTGTTTGTTTCCAGTCACTAGAGGGCAATGTCTCATTCCAACAAATTAACATACTTTCCTGATATTCATGGAGGTGTGTTTATATGTGCAGGCCTGAAGGTACGTGAGTAATTATGAACAGACAGGTAGGTAGCTGTGTTGGTCTGCCGTAGTCGAAACATAATAAAAAAATTCCTTCCAGTAGCACCTTAGAGACCAACTACCGGTAAGTTTGTTACTGGTATGAGTTTTCGTGTGCATGAAGAATCTGAAGAAGCGTGCATGCACACAAAAGCTCATACCAATAACAAACTTAGTTGCTCTCTAAGGTGCTACTAGAAGGATTTTTTTTTATTATGAACAGACAAGCAGAGCAAACGTGAGTTTGGTCTTTCTATATATACTGTACAAGAAAGAAACTCATATAGTTATTTGCATATAGCATGATGCAAGGAGAAATATACATTTATGTGTATCCTTTCTACTTTAGAGTCTTCTGGCTTGACCTCAGAAAACACTGGAATTTCCAGATTCAGTAGAGATTAGCATTTGTTTGTTTTTTAAGGAGAATAGAAATGATTTCAGGACTTGCAACTTCTCAGAATTATATTGCTATAATGGGAGGATCTGCGGCATCTGATGTTTTCCCTGCAGACAGTCAAAAACCCAGGAGCACTGGCTTCGTACTGAATCAGCTGGCTTTAAATTCCAAGCCACTGTGGGAATTGAAACATTAGAAGTGTTGTACAAATATATATAAACACTGATGTTCACATATCATCATCATCAACAGCATCCTTATATTTATTACCTTCGTTTCACCTGAAGGTCCTGAGGTGGGCTGCAGAAAAATAAGGTACAGCATTAAAAATAATTTAAAAATAATTTTTAGTGGGTTCTAATATATATATATATATATATATATATATATATATATATATATATGCTTTCGTAGATTTTCACGGGTACAGGAATGCAGGTTTTGGTGTCCTCGGGTGTCTTCCCGTGTAAAAGTTGGGGTGTCTAGGCGACGTTTCGACGAGGTCTCACTCGTCATCTTCAGGCTGGTGCTTTGGGCTTCTTGTTACTGGAACAAGAAGCCCAAAGCACCAGCCTGAAGATGACGAGTGAGACCTCGTCGAAACGTCGCCTAGACACCCCAACTTTTACACGGGAAGACACCCGAGGACACCAAAACCTGCATATATATATATATATATATATATATGAATTGAAACATTAGAAATGTGATGTATAAATACACAAATATATGCAAACACATATCATCATCAACAACAACATTTATTATATTTATTACCTGCCCTTCTCCTGAAGGTCCTGGGGTGGGCTGCAGAAAAATAAAGTACAGTATTAAAAACAATTTAAAACAAATTTTAGTGGGTTCTAAAATATATATAAGTTTTCAAAGACCAGGGTATAGACGTGCATCTGCAACATTCACTGAAAAATATATAGTGAAGAAGAGAGAAACACCTCTGTGGAGAGGGAATTCCACAACTTATGGGCTGCACAGAGAATACCCTCTCCCAGGCCATCACCGCCACCCAAACTTCTGAAGTAGGTGGAGCTCTCAAGAGGGCCTCTTTGCTTAGGTGTAGGGAAGGAGGCAGTTTTTCGGATATTTGGGGCCAAAGTCATTTAGAGCTTTAAGCATTAGCATGAGCACCTTGAATTGGGCCTAGAAATGAACTGGTAACCATTGTTGCTGTTTTAAAACAGGGGTTATATGAGTTCTAGATGGAACGCAGTCAGAAATCTGGCAGCTGCATTTTGGACCAATTGAAGTGTCCAAGCCATCTTCAAGGGCAGCTCCATGTAGAATGCATTGCAATAATCCAGTCTGGAATTTACCAGAGCATGGAGTACCACAGCCAGGTTGTGAGCAATGCATTAAATGCAGAACGACTCCTCACAGCTTATTTTGTACTTGGGCACATAGACCATTTTTATTTAGCAACAGTACAAGCATGGGGCACCATATCCTTCTGTCCCTACTGGAGTGCCCACATAGCCACTACTGCTTTGTGACAAGGATTTATTCTGTTGTTGTGGAGTAGTGGTTAGAGGATTGGACTAGGACCAAGGAGGCCAGGGATCAAATCCCCTCTCAGCTTTGAAGCTCAATGGATGACTTGGGCCAGTCATTATCTCTTAGCCTAAGATTCTTCATGGGGTTGTTGTGGGACTACATTGAGAAGGGGCAGAACCATATAAACTGCCTTGAGCTCCTCAGGGAAAAGGTGGTATATAAATCTAATAAGTAATGTAACCAATAACGAACTGTATTAGGAGGTGATTTTTACCTTCTTGTCCCCAGCAGCAATTTTCTTCTGCCTATTGCGGAAGGGCCCTTTCCTACAATTTTCATTGTAGTATGATGACTGTCCTGTCCTAGAAGAAAAGTCACATAAGTTTTTCTAACCCTTAAAAAAATATAAGTGTCAGTAGCCGCCACAACATCCGGTGGCAACAAATTCAACAACTTAATTACTAGGCGTCACAGGAAGAAGCAAAGTGCTTCCTTTTGTTTGTGTAGAAATGTCAGCCGATCAATGTAACTGAAAGATCTACTATTCTGAGAGATGGAAAATTTTTTCTCTTATTCTTTTCTGAACTAAAAAGCCTCAATTTCTTTTGAAGCCTTTGTTGACATGTTTTACTCTTTATCATTTTACTTACTCTTTCTATACCAATTCCACTATGCAATATCCATTCTGACAGTATAACCAGACTATAGCTGTTACTCCCAATTGTGAATACATCATAGGTTTATATAATGCCATTTGCTATATGCCTAATCTCACTTCCCTTCTCAATCTCACTTTCTACTCCTTTTCCACCCCAGATATTCCAGTCTGTTTGCATTAACCTCAAATGTCTCCTTCCATTGCTAGCTCCCTGGAATCGATCCTACAAACAGACATCTGAAATTTCTGTTAGATCTGATTGGGGACATTCTTGCACAATCTCATCCAGCACCTGCTACATACAAAACAATGGCATATTTTTCAGAACGCCAAATATTACTTGCTGCCTGTATTACTTGGTCTTCCTTGCCCTTCTCTCCTGTGGGATCTGATCCTGCCAAGAACATGGATGACATGGCGTTTTCTTTGATCCAACAATTCTTTCTTGCTGCAAGGTTAGTAGTTTAAAATGAATGTTTCTAGAACTCATGGTTAGAAGTATAAGTTTAAAGGAAACCATGGTTGGAGCACATCCAAAGCCAGTTAGGGTCACAAATTACAGAAGCATGGATCTTCAAATATTTCAAGGGCTATCACATGGAAGATAGAGCAAATTTGTTTTCTCCTACTCTGGAGGCTAGGACCTGAACCAATGGATTCAAGTTAGAAGGAGATTCTTACTAATCATCAGGAAGAAGTTGGATGGCCATCTGTCATGGATGCTTTAGTTGAGATTCCTGCATTGCAGGAGGGTTGGACTAGATGACCCTCAGTATCCCCTCCAATTCTACAATTCTATGATTATATGAAATTTGACCCATCTCATCTCTACAAGTATTTTTTCTGTCAGAATGTGGTCTTAACTGCTGCACTATTTGAGCCTTCAACATTAAGCTCAGGTCCAGGAGCACAATAAAGTCTGTGGACTTGACCCAGAGGCAAAGGAAGAACGCATCTACAGTATATGTATATTTTGTGGATCCAGTCTAAACCTGTTCAACCTCATTTACCCCACCACAGCCTTCAAACACTCATTTAGAACTGAAATTCCCGGATCTCTTCCAAGAAAAGGCAGAGCTGAGTATTAGCAACAGACTGATGATTCCACACTTCAGATAGTAAAGCCGTTGTCCCTAAGAGAAACCAACAGGTCATGCCCAGGGTACCTGAATATTTGGTCAGACATTTGCAACCCAACTACCTCATTGTGGCAAAGCACTGATAAACTCCCACTTTGGCATCATAACTGCTATCACACAGATCTTTGCATGTCAAGCATACTCACCCTCCACAATTGGTATATGATCTGTAATCCCCCGATGCAATCTGATATTCTGCAGGGCAAGGATTATTTACATCATTTTTTCCATATGGATTGCAGTTTTTCTGTCAATGGAGAAGAAGCAAGTTTGATAAGAGGGTGACTTCTTTTCTTGTTCACGAAAGAGAGACCACAAAAAAAAGAGAGAAAGAGACCACGGTTTGTGCAGACGAGATCTACTCTTTTCCATCAAGAGAGTGGTGATCTTGGACCCTTAAACTCACAAGAGTTTTTCCATCAAGAGAGTGGTGATCGTGCACCCTTAAACTCATATAAATCAGAACAAAATAGGCTAGGTCAAAGGTCATGGGTAAGGACACAAGAAAAAGTTTCTGCAATATGAAGGCACAACACTTTCTAATGGAACTAATGGAAAACAAGGGCTTAGATGGTGTACTTAAACTCAAGTCCAATAGAAACAGATTTGTTACCATTTCTAACTACCTTATTCCCATCATTAGAATCATTAAGTGGGTTAGATCCATTGCAAGTGTGACAAGGACAGGTTTAGAAGGAATCTCCTAGCTTAGCTTCTCCTTCTTCCTCTCCTTCCCCCCACCCCACCCTCCCATTCTCTCAGGCTATCTTCTCTCCCAGCTGACAAGTCCCAACTGCCAGTGAAGGTGTGCTCTCTCCCCCCCCCATCCCTTTCTAGATTTGATTAAAGAGGAGGGCTCTCTGACTTGACAGGCAGCTCACCAGGCCCAGCTGTCAAGCCTGCCTGATCACTTTGTCACAGAATGCTACTGAGCTGGAATGCACCTCACTTTTTGATAATACACAGCGTTGAGGCAGCGGAGAATAAACTTTATGACAGTTGTTTCTAGTGTGATCACTATTGTGAGATAGCCAGAATGCGTGCATATTTTGGTTTTACACACTCTTTTCTCTTTTCACAAACTCTTGCTGAGCTGGAGCTGGCACTTCTGGTAGTATTTTAAAGAAAGGCTCAGTGACAGAAATTACCACAAGCATTACAGTATTAAATAAAATTATGGGAACTGGAGAGCAAAACAATCAAACGCAGTATTAATCCTAAGGCAGAAGTTACAGTAAGTACTGATGAGGATATCAGTCCACTTATTGCCTGTCCTGGGTGAGGCAGACAAATCTGCAGCAATGCTGAACCATGAGAAGTGTCTGGAACCCCGAGAAGTTTCTGGAACAATCAATGTACTCAGGAATGTGCTTTGTGGAAGGCAAAGGATCAAGCCCTTGTCAGAGAAAGAGACAGACCTTTGAGTAGAGAAATTCAGTTGGAAATGAAAAGAGATATGTAAATTGCTGATGTTCATTTACTCATCCACATATGAACAGAAATCCACCCAGGAAATACTATCAGTATTTGCTGATGTTGTTGCTTTCAGTGCACAAATGATTAGGTTTCACCTCCATTTGCATTGTGTTTCCTTCATATCAAAATGATGGGTGTGGATTATGCAATGACCATGCAATTTACGTAAATTACATAATTTTACCACAGTGGACAGTGATACAAATACTGTATTTGGTGACAGACAAACTGCAGCGAGACAGAAGCAATGCTCCATGTGACCATACAGGGCAGAATAGGAAATGATACCTTCTTACATTCCTACATCTGAGTGACAGGCAAGGATTACAATGAGATGCAATACGATGCTTTGAAAATGGGAGGGTCATTATGCTTGAATGTCTTGTAATTTGGGCGTTACAAAATAATGATGCATTCTTTAAAACAGGAAGAGGGTCAAGTTTTTGAACCACCAGATTTTGTCACCCCTGGTCTCTGAGCTGCCCACCCTGCCCCAAAGAGAGGTGCCTCCTCACACTGCCCCACAGGGGTCTGGGAAGTACCCCCGTGGCTAGCCCAAGAAGCATCATTCGCCTGTGGAGTCTGTAGCCAGGGCTGCTGCAACAAACAGCCACACAAGCCTTGGGGAGGCAGAGATGCAAGAGGGCATCAGAGGAGGGAGGGGAGGAAAGAGGGACAGAGGCCAGTGTTGCCAGCGGCACCCCTGACCATCATTCAAGGCATCTCAGGGTGATGCCGCACACTGGTTGAAAACCACTGGCCTAACGGCATCCGTGTCACCTGGGAGATCACAGCTACAGAGATAAGAGTCATTCCATTCTCTGGAGAGGTCACTTCCTAGAGAAGCCGTTTTCAATGGAACCCAGCGACGGAAGCGTCCAATTGTATTGAGGCAGCACTGGGTGTTGAAATTTTGTGCCCCTAAGAATTTTGCTCCCAGAGCAACTGCCTCTGTGGCCCCTTCCGAGCTATGCCACTGCATTGCACCCCCCACCCCACCCCCGAAACTGTTGGCAATCCTCCCATACTGAAAACAGCTAGCACAAGAAAAGAGTGTGGAGACTAGTGATACGTAATGCACGTAATGCAATGGAAGAACAATTTTCTTAATCAGTCCCTGCCTAGAAAGAGTGAGAAAGCAGGCCTGCATGTCAATATCCCTGTTCAGTCAGTCTTCTGAGGTCCTTTGTACAGCAACGTGCTGAGGAACCCTGCCACTGACATCATGCACACCAGGTAACCCCTCTGGCATCTGTGAATGCAGCATGAACATCTGCAGGAGGCGGGTCTCTGTATGTAAAGCTGAATACACAAAGCCCTCCCCTCCTCTGCAGATATTTGCATTATACATGTGTCACTACTCAGTGTATGCCATGTCAGAGGTGGGCATATGGAGTGTGGCCCCACTTCCATGTTTCTTTACACAGGAGTTTGAATGTCTAAACAGGACTAATGTAGCACACAGTACTGGCTCCCCTAACATGTGGAAGGGCTTCACAGCTATAATCTCTGGGCCACCATTCAAGCTTCACGACACAGGCCTAACCTTGTTTATTCACAAGTAAGCCCCAGTGAATTCAAAAAGGATTTTCTTACATGTCTTAACATGTCGAAAAAAACCTGTTGGCTGCAAAATAGAAAGTTTTATCTTGAGACAAAGGAGGCTTGTTTTTGTTTTTTTGTTTTTTTACTGCAGAGCTAGGTTAATGAATGGTCTTCCCATTGAAAACCATGAGGAGAGAGTGCATCTTTTCTTGTCATTCTTAAACAGTTGCTGATGTTAGTCAAATCATGAAAGCCTTATATTAAAAATACGAGAACTGTTTATTTACAATTTAAGACACCTCTCTGGGGTGGCCACTTATGCATCACCCCAAAATATGACAAAGATATGCATAAAATTAGCATGTACTGATTTATATGTATGAATGCAAATTTAGACAGGCTGGCTAATGCAAATTCAAATGAAAATACATCTCACCATAGTGATGAAGGCTGTGAACAGGTGAGCTGCTGCTAACTGTTGGTGGTAACTTCAAGGTCTCTGCTGCTTTCCCTTAGGGTTCTTCATCCTTAAACCAGGCTTGGACCAGACAGCCCTTCAAACAGAGGACTCCTTCAAATAGAGGGCTATCCTCTGTTAGCATTTCAAATAGAGATTTGTCCTCTTTAAAGCAAGATGCATGGCCACCCTAATCATATCTCTGGTTGGTCTATATGACTTGTTGATGGGCATGATTAGGGATAAGTTTAACATGCATAAGCTCCCCACCCCATGGATGGGAATGACTCATTCATGATTGGATGTGGGCCAGATCAGAACCTGGTTAGGAAGCCACTGGGAGTCTCATGGAAACTATATAAACTCTTCTAAATGAAGTATAATTAATTAGTAAACAAACAATGTGAAGACCACCAGCCTGACCCAACAATGGGAAGCCCAGCTAATACATTACCGAATTGTCCAGAAGCATCTCTTGCTGTAGATCCCCAACAAAGGCCACTAGTTTTGTGTGACTAAAGCTGGACTAGGGCCCACATATTTGGCACATTAGAACCTAAATGCCAACATGTCATGTGTGAAAGCAAGTTTTCATTGCTTGTGTGGTTATCTCTGTAGGATGTTTTTACTCGTTTGGTTTACAGTTATTCCTTTCATTGACATTTTTATTGTTCTAATAATGGTTTTCCTTAAAGGAAGGATAATTTTGACTTGTTTGGCTATTTAATTTGTAAGTAATATTTAATTTGTAAGTAATATTACTGAAAGCTGGGCTAGATCTAAGGCAGCACTCAGGGGAAGTATCCTCCTCAGACCACTAACAAGTTGTTCAAACCAAGGAGCTAACTCTGAGGCCCGGCTGGATGCTCAGGACTGGCACTGCAGCCTAGATCGTATCCTATAAATTTGTAGCTTCCTTCATTCTCCATCTCATGGCATTCTTCTTTAACATCGGACACCTCTCTGTGATTGAGCCATATCCACGACATGTTGCAATCATGGATTTGCTGTCTTCCTGGCTCTGATCTACCAATACCTATCAGACAACTCCCACACCACACAGAAGCTGTGGCTTGTGTTCAGAAATTATTTGCATGTTGCTTTCTACTATGTTATCCCAGGCTGTTAAAGCCTTTGGACCGAGCTCAGCCTGGATGTTTTACATGTTTCTGATTTGCTATGAGAATGTGATCTCTCTTCCCAATCATGCTTTCTAGGCGATGAACATTACAGCACAGTATCAGAGACAGGATAAAGCATCCCTTTTCTTGAGTGGGAAAGTAGTGCTCAGGTAGCAGCTTGTCCGACATTTTTCCTCACCTCGTTGCTGTTCCCTGGGTTGAAATTCCCTTGAACGATTCTGTTCCCATAAGTATCCACAGCACCACCACCACCGCCTCCTCCTCTTCCTCCTCCAACGATCCTGCCTTCTCGAACTTCTTTTTTGCTAAGAGGCATGGAATGTAGAACAACGTGAGTAACAGGAATTGGAAACTGGAGTTCTTATGTTCAAACACTTGTTAGAACTTGAACATTCAGGAGAAGATTGAAAGAAGAAAAGAAAACCAAGGACAGTAAAACAAAAATGAAAACATAAGGAGAGAACAAACCCACAGGCATATACAAAGAAGTGAGCAGCTGCTTTGTTTTAATATATCAGAAATGTGGAACCTTTGGCCTTCCAGATGTTGTTGAACTACAACTCCCCTCAGCCCCAGCCAGCATGGTCAGGAAAGATGGGAGTTGTACTTCAGCAACACCTGGAAGGACAAAGGTTTACCACACCTGGTATATAGCAACCTATCCCAACCTGGTACTCCCTAGATCCTGGGTGGGGGGACCTGTCACCCTCCATATGCTACTGAATGGTCATCATCCCTGACCATTGGCCATGCTGGCTGGCCAATTTTTTTATAATGCAAATTTAGTGAAGGGAGGAAGGACCTTCTTCAAATGTGCATCCTCCTCAATAGGTTTTGCCTGGCTGGAAGGCATCCTCAGACTGTTCTAATGCCCCTTGACTGCCTGGATGGAAAACAGTATATGTGGAAACCTCTGACTTTGCATGGCTGGTCAGCAGCCTATGGAAAAAGTCACACCAGCTGTTGCACCCACCCCTGGCATGTGGCCCCCAGAAGGCTGTCCGCTGGGGAATGTGGCCCTGGGGATAAAACCCTGGCCTAAGTAGCTAACATTACATAAACTATATACATTAAACACAAGGCATTTCTTCTTGTGTTCAATGACTGCCCATAAACTTTGGAGAGTACATGCGAAAGTTTGCTATTCACGACAGCACATCATTTCATCTTTGAGTTAGAGCACTCACAATTTCTCTGAGCACATGATACACTTGTTGTTGTATGTGTAGCCAGTTGCATCCCGCACTGGAGCATTCTCACGGGTGCAAGTGAGTTCTCCGTTGGGTCCCATCTCTGATCGATATTCCTCGCATCCATCATTCCTCTGCAGAGAAAGAACATGGTTTGCTTTGCTGGTCTGATTTTTGGAAACTCTGGAGGATCTTCATTCACAGCAAATGCATCACACAGACACAGATGGTGTCAGGGTGTGACAGGGTGAACCATGTCACCTACTACCTTGTGTCTGACTGAGGCGTTAGTCAGAGGAATCCTGAGTGCCTCTGTCTTAGAAACATTTGTTGGGTGTTGCCCTCTATGGCCGGCCTAATTATCATTCTTTAGCAGGGATATTCAAAGCATGCAATTGATCTGGATGATAAAAGCGATCTCCCCCACTTTTCCCAACAATGTGCTTAAAATACTGTCAACACCTTACCAGATCACAGGCAGACAACTGCACCAGAACAATTCAGAGAATACTCAGGTCCCATCAATTGCTGTGGAGCATGATGAAAACTTCTAAAAAGTTGCAACATGCTTTCAATCAATAGCAAATAAAGCCAACAAAGGTGGCTGGAATGCTGGCAAGAAAGGGCCTGCCCTTGATTCCTCAATACTATTTCATGAACTGGTGTTGCTTAGACATCTCACCAGTGAGAAACTTTTCATATAGATTCTCTTTAGCTTTAATGAAGGCAAAAGAATGATGTGAACATTTGCACCGACAACCCGTATACTCTCCTAGCTGGGTCCACATGATGGAACAAGGGTAAAGTGAGTGAATGAAACATAAATAAATAAATCTATGAGGATGAACTGACTTTGCCAATTCAAAACAGGTTAAAAGGAAGGTAAGTATAAGGGTTTTCTTTTTTAAAAAAAGTTTCTGCAATAACCAACTTTTATCTGGAAGGTGCTTTACTATTTTGTTTGCTTGTTCAGTTAGATAGGTAGAGGACCTTGAAATAGTCTCCTTGAACTATTTCTTCTTTATGAGTCATTGAAACGTAGATTCTAAGTATGCAATTGATCTGGACGCAGCTGATCTGAAAAGTTCTCTCACTTTCCCCAACATGCTTAATTACAGGATGGGCATAATTCACATTCCATTATAGTCAATAGAAAACTTCATCATGATCGTCATCATTTATACCTGACTCAAGGCAGCTTACAGATAAAAATAATCTCTAAAATGGACATTGCCCTCAAATGTGATATAGCATTTTAAACATTATGCATATTAAGATAACCTCTTTATGGACTAAAACTGTTATCCAGGGATGAACATTATCAATTAATGCAGATGTGAATTTGGCTAGGCCTGAAATATAACCTTGAAGTCTACTGCTTTCTAGCTTTTAATGAAATCATTAAAAGCTAATCCAATGACAGAAATGCTGAACACAATTTTTTTAAAATGACATTACAGGCAAATGTAGTTTCTATGATTTGGGCAGAGATAATACAGGTCAATTTAAGAACATAAAAATAACATGCTGGATCAGGCCAATGGCCCCTCTACTCCAGCATCCTGTTCTCACAGTGGCCAATCAATTGCCTGTGGGAAACCCACAAGTAGGACCCAAGCACAAGAACACTCTCCCATCCAGTGATTTCCAGCAGCAAGTGTTCAGGAGCATTACTGCCTCTGATCATGGAATCACAGCATAGCCATCATGGCTAATTGCCATTGAAAGCCTTTTCCTCCTTGTATTTGTCTAATCCTCTTTTAAAGCCATCCAAGTTGGTGGCCATTGCTGCCTTCTGTGGCAGTGAGTTCCATAATTAACAATGTGCTGCATAAGAGGTACCTGTGGAACATGAGGGAGGACTTCCTAATTCTGTGCATAATGCGGTACTCTACCACACACGTGACTTTTTGCATATGGAACAAGAGGCTAAACTGTGCATGTATGTGCAGGATGCAACAAAACCTTGGATGAACAGAGTTGGAACCTGTTTGGAGTAAAACTGATTCTTCTCATTCTTGGTCACCATGGGCAAGAAATGCAGAATGTAAATGGTCAGATACAAATTTGGATAAAGCTTTATTTCACCTCATTTTTTCCATTTTGTGGTTGGTCCTTTCCAACAGAATTCATCGTACCTCCATTTTTGCTGCAAGAAACAATGGATAAAGTTTTACTTTGTTGCAGACAGAGAGGCCCAATTTAATTAAAAAGCAAATATATTACGGCATACTCACAACTTCTGTAGACACATTATGCATTTATTGCTATGCTGCTTGCCAGAAGCATCACGAACTGGATTATTCTCTCTGGTGCAGGAAAATGACCCATCTCTGAAATAAGGCCAATATTCACTGCAGTCGCCATCCTACAGTGGAAGAAGAAGATCAATTTTCCTCCTTGAAGTCTCACTGGAGATAAAGTTCATCATGAGTCATCAACAGGATGCCCATATCCAGCGTTTAAGGTCCCTTAGAAAATCATGTGATCAGCAGAATGTTCAATCACTTTTGACTGAACCAAACCCAATGGAATAAGTCTTTTATGAGGAATGAAGCACCCTGGAAGTGATCTTCATTGGAAGTAATTAAGAGAATGAGCACAAACCTGAAAGTTTCCAGAGGTGTAGCTGTGTTCATCTGTTGCAGCAAATACAGCAGTTTTGTAGCACCTTAAAGACTAATAAATTTATGATGTTATGAGCTTTTGCAGACTACATTCTACTTTATCAGATGTTTCTTTTATAGATGCATCTGATGAAGTGGACTACAGTCCATGAAAGCTTGTGTTTGTCATAAACGTGTTAGTCTTTAAAGGTGCCACAAAACCAACCAAATGGTAGCATTGGTTTCAGTGGGGAATTGTCCACCCAGAATTCTTTCCCATGTAAATAAATCAATACAGCAAATGTGCTTAATAGCCAATACATTATGTCTAGCACTTGAGATTCTGTTTTCTTTGTAGATGTGTAATGTCTATTTTGGACTTTATATTAAGCAAGATTTTAAAAATCTGTTAGACACATTAGATTTCAAAAATATAGTGGACACACTAACAACAGAACTGCTTGCCATGTTGCCAGCTTGTGTTCATCTTTTCCTCTGCTCCTGGGTGGGAACAATCTGAATGGGAAAAGCAGCAGAGTTTCTGCTTTATCCTTCTCCCACCCTTTCTCTTAGCAGCTTCTCCCTCTGAACACTTCCCTCTCAGCCAGAATGCTAGACACAACCTTATGAAGTCTAACCTGCACAAGTGTAAGTCACACAGAAGCAAGCATTATGATGACGAATTAAGCCAAGCAACTTGACCAAGAAACAAAGATATCATTTGGGAAAGAAAAGCCTGTCAATGACAAGATTTGCTGCCTAGAGAAAGAGGTGTGCAAGAAATGGATTGGCCAAGATAAACAAGGCGCAATTAAGGCTTGCTTATGCCTGGTCCCACACCTTGCCCTAGCTGGAGCGCTCTTGGGTGTTATTACCCCATTAAGCAGTAATTGAGTGCCAACAACGTGCTTGGAATGTTCCAAACAGGGAAGGCAGCCCAGGACCCGCCCTGGAGAATTTACTATTTCAGTCTCGGAAACACAAGAAGGAAAAGATACAAACTCATCATGGCACACTAACTTGGGCCTGTCAGAAACCAAAATGCATAGTACTAGTAACGGTTCAATTGTGGTTTTCAATGAGACCCTGTAGTGGGTGAACTTGGATAATTTTAGACCCTGGACTCAATGGTCTCATGAAGACCTTCTTTAGATAAGTAATGAGCCTTACTTCTTTTAAGCCATACCTAATAACGTGGGGGTGTTTTTTTTGGGGGGGGAGGCACTGTTCTATCTGTTCTATCTGCCCTCCAAGTCTGGAGCCAAACCGGAAACTAGGATTGCTATTAATACTCACAGGCAGGAACAGGTTTAGAGAATCAGAGTGGTACAATGGTTAGAGCAGGGCTGGTGAGCCTGTGGCCTTCTAGATATTGTTGGACTCAATTTCCCAGCAGTCCTAGCTAAATGATCGTGGCAGCTGTAGTCCAGCAATTTTTGGAGGGCCCAATCCCTAGGTTCCTCACCCTTTGGTTAAGCTAGGACCAGGGATGCTTGGGTTGAAATTCCTGGTGAGTGGTTAACTTTACTGGATGACTTTGACCTATCACAATCTCTTAGGCCAACCTACCAGGTTGTTGTAAGGATAAAACATAAGGAGAATGCAAACTGCTACTGTTGGTGTAATGAAGCATATTTGTACATATAAGAAGCAGCCAGAGGGTGTATGATGAAAATCAACTCTTCCTGAACAATATTTCTAGTGAACCAGCAATGTGCTGTGGGGGAGGACACCACCCCGAATTTCCATGAAATTCAGCAGGTCTCCACTTGTGCAATTTCTGTTCCAGAAGTGTGTTCACTATAATTACATATAGTATCAGCAGTGTAACTCTAATCTCATTTAGTAAAATTAGATTGGGCTACAATCCAAGTGACAATGAAGTCTGATATCTTCCAGCACAAAAGCAAAAACCAATTGCTAAGGCACTGGGTCAAATGCAGGGCTTAAACACATAATATCATCATATGTCAGGTATACCATTTTTCATGCCTCACATGCAATCCTGCACATGTCTACTCAGATATTCCTCTCACCTTTCTGCCATGGGGAAATCCAAATTTACCCACCCACAATAACTGGCCAATCGTGGATGGGCTTTAGGAGGTGGCACCAGGGGGGTGCAGAGTCAGGTGGAAACTTTGTGCTGGTTTCCACTTGGGTTCTCTTCTTCAGGATAAAAAGGGGCCCGCCTTCTCCCTTGGCACTACAGTCACCCTTTTGGTCTCCCCCCCCTTGTTAATGACTTTGCTATGTAATCTTTTGGCTGCTGTATTTGGGGCAGGAAGAAATTTTATATCCAGAAAAATTGGCTGGTCTTGTGGTTTTTGCCTCACAGCAATCCTCACAACTTTAGTGGTTAAAGCATTAGGTCAGATTCATAGTAATTACTCATAAGGGGATTATGTTGCTTTAACTTCCCCTTCCAGGAATTGGGGTATCCCATTAAAGGAATCCTAGGAGAGGTGTTTCTGTCCATAAAACCAGATGGGGGGCTGAGGACCATAGCACTCCCCAAGGGAATTTCCATGGGCTGCTTCTATTTGATGGAAACCATAGGGCAATCTTTTCCTGGAATGGATGCCCTAGGAAGCAGGAAGCAGACAGGCTGACCAAGTGGGAAATCACCCACAGCCTGAGGCAAATCACCTACATCTGTAATCAATAAAGTTGTGGCCTTTTTTTCCCTTTTTTCCTTTTTTGGATCCATGAATGTAGGTCTGTGTATCTTTATACACGGTGTGAGGCACCACGTGGCGGGCTCACTGTGCCTGAGCATGAAAATACGATCCATTAGCCTCAATGGGACTTACTCCCAGGGAAGTTTGCACAGGATAGCACTGTTAGCAAGAACTGTAGGTTGTAGCCAGCAACGTTGCTCGGGTGATGGTAAAGCCACATAAGAAGAGGAGCAATTTCCAGTTATTCTCCATCTCCTTCAAACTCCTGAAATAATCTAAAATTGTTTTCCTCCTTGTAACACTAATGGAATCAACGCTATCAGATGCCATTGGATAGCTTTAAAATTTCTCCTCACCTTTGCTGAAGAAGGGTTTTTGGGCCAACCAGCAATTGCTCTCCTTCTCCTATTCATGAAGATAACAAACAAAAACAGAGAAGAAATTATGAATGGAAAATGTAAATGGTGCAACACTTTAGTGTAGGGTGATATAAAGTTCAATACAAACCCCGCAATCTTTTTTCACACAAGAGGTTCTTGGAATGCAAGAGAACTGCTCACATAAAAGAGAACAGAAGAAATCAAGACGTAAAGTAGGTAAGGAATGTTATTTGCTTAGAATCTCTAATCTAAGGACTTATTCATGTAACTAATTTGTCCCACTCATTTCAATGGATAGAAACCATTGTTGCACCAGTGGATTTCCTCTCAGGTACCAGGACTTCATTTTCCTCTCCTTCTCTCTGCAGTTTCCCCATACACTTCCAGATTTTACCCCAGAGTATTTCTCAGTCCTCCCAAGCAGATTTTGTGGGTGCACAGGAGGCAAGGAAGTCCCATTGCACAAGGAGGAAGTCTGTTCTATGTGTACATGGGCAGCATTGGATACAACTTGATGGTACTGAAGTGTTGCCAACCTTCTATGAAATATTGCCTAGATGGCCATTTACACAAACCACTGATATGAAAAGGATATTTCAGAGCCCATTTGTATTGCTGAGAATCATATTCATAGAGACTGATTAAACCACTCATCCCTGAGCACCTTCCGAATCTGAAATGAATCTTAGGGAATGAGCACAGGTCTCATCTTAATATTGATGCAGACTCCTGCTCACTAAATCCGAATAGCTTCTCCTTCATGGAAGGAATCTTGCAGGCATTGAAACTAAAGCCCTGTGTGATTTCTAATGTGTGCTAGATCTTCCCTGCTGCCTTGATGGCCTTGATTTTTTGATCCACTTTTGGTGTTGATCTTGATGGTCTGAGGGAACAGCAAGGCATGAAACTGACCTCTCTGTTCTGGGGGTTATAAGTTGCAGTGTTTGCCTCAGCCAAGGGGTTTCTGCTATAGAGATGGAACTAGGAAATTGTCTGTAGGAGGAGAAGACATAGGGGAAACAACCAGTATAACAGCTCTCATCACGGCATTAGCATCTCTGAAACAAGTGTTGTTTCTAATACTCACAAGACTTCACGGCACATGACACACTTGTTCATATGTCTCCTGCCATCAGGACCGAAAACAGGGTCTATATCTCTGTTGCAGTATAAATTCCCATCCTCTAAAAATGGTTGGAATTCACGGCACATGCCCTCCTAAAGGGATAAAGGAATGCTTAATGAGGCTTGCTTGCCTTCTTCTGCTTCTGCAATCCTTAAATTGCTTCAGTTTTGTATGTTTATATGGAATGGAAGTGAGTAATATGAAGGTGGGGAATGTAACTCTCTTCTAGTTTTCGCTTTCGCTTGCTCTGTCACTGAGTTTCAATGTTTATTTCATTTGAATGGAAAATCACACTCAAATTTTAGACATTTCTGGAGGGGAGTGGTAACAAAAATGGAGCTCAGATGATAGTCAAATTCTGGACACAATCCACCAAGAGGTTCAGCACTGCAACCTCATTAAAATGGGTGAAGGTGAACTTGCAGATAGATGGAGCCCTCTGTTACCTGGGCATTTCAATATGATGGTCATAGGTAGCTGAGGCAGGGATTCTGTAAGCCTTGTGTTTAATGAAAGTGTAACACTGGAAGCTACCTTAGACCAACCTGGACCATTGGTCCACCTAGCTCAGTACCGTTTACACCAGGACTAGCCAAAGTGATACCCTCCAAATGTGGTTAGACTCCAACTCCCTTCATCCCCAGCCCACATGGCCAATGGTCAAAGATCATTGGAGATGTTGTCCAACAGCACATGGAGGGCATCACATTGGTTATTCTTCACCAGCAGTCAAGGTTGTGGTGGAGTGGGGTGTGGCAGTGGTGGGGCTGGTGCACTGCAAACACACCAACAGAAGCAATCTGGTGCTACGTTGGTGTATTTACACCACACTGACCTCACCACCACCACATTCTTCCCTTCTCCACCCCAGTTTGCTGCTGCAACTCAGCTGAATAGAGATCAAGTGGATGGCATAGCCCCACCGCACTGTCTACTGCTGCATGTTGTTTACAATGACTGGCAACAGCTCTCCAGGATTTCAGTCTTTCTCAACCATACCTGAATATGCCAGGAAGGAACCTGGGACCTTCTTCACACAAAGCGTATGCCCTTCTATTAAGCCATATGCTCCTTAAAAAACATGTGCCACCATGTTGGATATTTCTACCACTATTCCATGTTGGTTATAGCAGGGAGGCCCCATAGAGCATTGATTCCCCCTCCAACCTACTAATACTGGGCAGAGACTGGGAAGTAGCACTAAGAATCCACCAGGATTTCTTAATGCAATCTAGACAGAAGGATCTCTGTTAATTAGAAAGCATTATCACAATGACTGGGCAATGGGGAAGATGGGTTGCCAGGAGGCAGTATCAACCAGGCTATTATGTAGTTTCCAGGTGCATTTTTGCCTTCTTTTTTGGGGGTGGGGGCGGAATCCTGTCCTAGGTTGCAGGCCTTTTGGAAATATTGGGCAACAGAGATGTTGGCTGAACTGCAACAGTTAAACTCAAGCAATGTTATTCATTTCACAGATAACATTTCCAAATGCAAGTAAATTCTCAGCACCTTTAACAAACTACAGTTCCCAGAATTCTTGGTGGGGTGTTTTAAATGCATGGTGTGTACACAGCCTGATTTAGGAAAAATAAGAGAAAAGTCTGAACTAACCTGGTATCTCATTTGACTGGCAACACCTGCAACAAAAATACGCAGATTGTAAATTCTTGCATTGTCATTGTACAAATTCAAGTTTTAAAAAGACGATGACTCAATCAAAGAGTTGGTTACAGTTACGTGACCCAACAAACCCTACCCCCTCACAAATGCAAACAAACCCCACTACAGACAACCACAGACAACCAACTACACCCTGCCCCCAATGCCTCTCACTACAAAGGAAATGTAACAAGCGAATAGAAAGAGAGCCTACTGTATCCAGTTGATGCTGACACAAAACCCCACATTTACACTATAAAAAAGAATATACTTTTCACCACCCCCCCTCCTCTCCCCCACTCTCTTTCCCCTACCTTATACTGTACTCAACACTAACATCTCATAACAAATGTAACTGATCTATAGAAAAGACTTTACAGCCTGAAAAATAGACAATGCACATACTTTTGATAGTAATTTTTATTAGTTTTCAGTTACAGCAATCCAATACAGTAATAGCCCCATTATAACAATACCAAATTATAATACAATTAATAATACCAATCATGGAGATGCAGTATGCTAGAATTAATGGTTTGATGATTTTCTTTGTTTCAGCGTTTCAAATGCATGTACTTTTGTAAACCAAGAAAATCTTTAATAAAAATTACTTTTTAAAAAGGAGATGGTTTCAGTTAATCTGAATTTCCCTGATCCCTATAGCTTTCTCCTTTCTTGCATATGGTTAGTGGTCCTTGATAAAGATCTGCATAGCCATCCACACCAGATGTACCAGTGGACTTCAAAGGGGGTCAGATGAGCCCCATAATGCAAATTCAGACCACCTGCTTGCACAGAACACACTTATCTGGGTTGATGTGAAAATTATTTTCACTGAATTACCCTGTAATCCTAAGCATTAGAAATAAACCTTACTGGAATCAGAGGGACTTATTTCTTAATAAACATGGTTTGGGCTTGCAGTCCTGCTTTCTATAATTTTAAGGCCCATGCTTGCCTGAGCTACTTGTCGTCGCTTGCAGTGGCACTTTGTGCACATCATGATCATATCGATCTCTCTCTGCAAGTGATGATGATGGTGCACCTATGGAAACACAGTCTTGAGCATGGCTTTTAATGGGAACTGTGTTAAATGTAAGCACTTTTATTTAATGAGGTTGTGCATTGGGCTGGTTGCCCACTAAGCTAATTATATAATACTACTAACTGCAAGTTCCTTGATTCATACCACCCAGATATTTCTGTGCGGTTCCCAAAATGTTGGGACTGAGCTATAGGAAGTTCTTAACAAGGATTAGTTAATGTAACATTTGTCAGAAACATCTTACAACCCAAATCCAAGCCTAGAATACTGTCCTTAACTAAACTGATTTAGATATTTAGAACAGCATGTCGTACAGCCTCTTGTTTTGTTTCTTTTTCTTCCTTTCTCCTCTTTTACATTTCTTTTTAATGGAACTTATACTGTTTGATTCTAGTATTTCATATAAAGCAGCCTAGTCAATATATGGGGTGTTTGGGGAGGGGTATTGCATCTGGTGGGGGACACATCATGCTCCTTTTGGGGTAGTTAGTCCACTTTTGGTCCCCACCCTGCACTTAGCTCTCCACTGTGGTTCCTAGAAGCTGTCAGCATGCGACAGAAGCCACACCCCAGGAACGGCTTTAACTGGCTGGCTAAACCAGGTGAGGGTAGCTGCTGAGTCTCAAACCCTCAGTGAATTAGGGACTCCTCTACATGAAAAGACAGACTCCAGTGGATTGAGTGGACAAGACCAATAGTGGGTCCAATGGTCAAGAAGGCGGTTTCTGCATGAGATGTAGAGGGAAGTGAGGAGCAGGTGGGGTTTGTCAACCTGGGAAAGTAGCCCATCTAGGAGAAGAAAACTCTGATCCTAAACCTCTTCTGCCTTGTGGGATATCTTCAGAAGAAGCAAAGGCTAAGGCATAAACCCTACACAAATCCAAAGTAGAGTCCATAAGACAGTTTGATGGGGCCTTGTATGCCTCCTTCTGGCAATTCCTGCAGCTGGTGCCAAACATATTACTCTGCTTTACTTTGAACCACATCAGTGAGGCCAAGAGGGGGGACTTGTCATCTGGGCAGCCCAGGACCTCTATACACACTGCCAGGTTTGCACCCTGTACGTTCACTTCGGTGCTGCTAATGAAGCAGTTTGACTTCAGCCCCAAAGGTGCTCTCCATTGTCTATCAAGACAGACAGATGCCAACAACAACAAGTCAATATAAAGCAGGGAGCTCTCTATATGAAATATTATTACCCTAACTCAGGGGTGGGGAACTTGTGGCCTTCCCGCCGGTGTGGCTAATAATAAGGGATGGTGGGAGTTGAGGTCTATCCACATCTGGAAGGCTAGAGGTTCCTCATCCTTGCCCTAACTAAACCACAGATCTGAAGATTACCATCTCTCTTTTACACCCCACCTCAGTAAGCAATCTTTGGTGCCACTGCTTGTTTCCACTTTGGTCCATGGAGCAGAGGTGACCTATGCTGGTCCAGTTAATAATGTCAAGTCATCTTCCTTCTGAAGTCACTTTGTGACGGGCACATCTTGCCACTTACCACAATTTTGGGACCACCTGGGAAGCTGTAGCGGTTAAGATGCAATGGTTGCACAGAAAAAAATTGCTGCCCCCCCTTCCACACCGCAAGTCTGCTAGATAAGAAGACTCCACAGGCCACAAACAGCAGATACCCCCTGATGCCAATGAGAACTGAAAGCAAATCAAGCTGTACTGAAAACTAGCACAGAATGTCCAATCTGCATGTCACTGGAGGTGACAGGTCCTTCAGACTGGATCACTATCAGTCTACCCGACTTGTCCAGTGCTGTCCATTGTTATATCCTGCCACTTATAGCCACTGCTTCTGCAATTCCTCAGGCAAATCAACCAGCTGATAATAACTTGCCCAAGAGGCACTGATAGACATTGGGATAAACAACTCAAAGAGCAAGGAAAAAAATTCCAGACACATTAAGTTCAACTACTTGCAGATGGCAGGATTCTCTAGATTTTATGACAATGAATACAGAATTCTATTTATATATACATACAATAACAGCCATACTGAGCCCTGATTGGTTGGTCCATGTTTGCACTCTCTCTCTCTCTGCAGAATCACCCTATCTTTATCTTCATTCCTGTTTAATGTCAACTCTGTTGAACGAGTTGAAGAATTCCAAGTCTGCCCTATGCATGGATACAAACACTCAACCACGTTTTGACAGAAGAATGTCATTTCATCAGACAGTGCATTTGAACTGTCCACCCAAAAGGCAAAATAGATGAAAATAGATATTAAAGGTAAAGGTAAAGGTACCCCTGCCCGTACGGGCCAGTCTTGACAGACTCTAGGGTTGTGTGCTCATCTCACCCTATAGGCCGGGAGCCAGCGCTGTCCGCAGACACTTCCGGGTCACGTGGCCAGCGTGACAAGCTGCATCTGGC